AATGGGATTATGCCAGGTTCTTTCTGAGCGATAAGGTGGTATTATTTTGTACTCTCAAATCCTCTGTATGTAAATATAAGTTACTTCTCATTTGGGAATAAGTCCAGCCCTTGCATTTTTTTCCTACTATATGTCCCACTCTATTCATGCTGTGGCATCTGAGGGTACAGCTCTCACTCTCTACCATGGGACTTTGGTGTACTCTGGGGCAGAAACTCTTAATTCCTCCTTGTATACCCAGTACCTGGCATGGAGGAATAGTACGTGCGGTAGTAACAAATAGTAAGTGTACAGCTTTATTAAAATGATGAATGAATCTCGACAACAGTTTAGAGGCTTTTTTCCCCCTTTATTTAAATGTTTTTATTTTAAAAAAAATTAAAGACTTTCATGGCACAACTTCTTCCCAGTACAGTTATGTTTTAGTTATACTAATTACAATACAGTTACAACCAATAAAACAAGGGGTAGGCACTTCAGACTTCAAACTTAAAAAGAGGGAGTTGCACTTCAAACAAAGTTAAAAAATACTTTAAAAAACTTTTTAGACTGAATTTTTCAGACTAAATGCCAACACAACTGTTTCATATTGGCCATTCCCTTTACTGCCATCTAAGCAATGCAGACACAGCGCTGATAAACAGTGTCCCAATACAAGGTATACAGATGAGGTGTAATATACAGCAACACAGAAGTTGTTACGCTGTAAACCCTTGCCCCCCGCCCCCAAATTGGGTAGCGCTTCAGAGTCCTCTGCATTCACAGTTCAGAGACATTTAACATTCAATTGGGTTCATTGCACACTCTATTAAATAGTAGTACCATGATCTCTTATTTGATTTTAGCCACACGGGGCAGGAAGGAATGGAGTTGGAGAGTCAGCTTGACAGAATCTCTATCCTTGGAGCCATCATGGTAGTTGTACGAGGTCTGACAGTGAAGTTCACAAACTGATGAAGAAGTGTTCCATACCTCATTGCTGAATAACACTACAGTCACCTTTGAAGAACTTCCTTTGGGAAGCTATGCACCAATGCCAGTGTCTAGTCCACTCTTCAGAACTAGTTTGGAATTCTTTTTCTGGTATGGTCATCAGAGCTGTTGTTGTCATAGGAGGTCTGACGATTACGTTTGTGCACTAATCCTAGCAAAAAGTGCTTTATAGGGTGGACCAGGTGATGGTGTCAGTGCATAGTTTCCCAAGGGGAGTACTTCAAAGGTGACCCTAGTGATAATCAGCAATGAGGTATGTAGCATGTTAGGATAAGTTTGCGAGCTTAATTATATGACCTTGAATTTGCTGTTTCCAATATTTTCTGGGTATTGGAATGTGGTGTATGAGTTAGTCCTACCATCCTCTTGCTTTTTGGGGGGGATCACATGGAAATTTGTGCCTCCTCTTAGTACAAATTTGTTATTTTTCCTTGCAGAACTAATACAGTCATTCATATATTCTATTTCTCTTAGCCCACAGATGACACTAATGATTTCTTGAAAAATTCATTACTGGAATCTGATAGTGCTTTTATTGGTGAGTATATTTATTATATTAATGCTATATCATTTAGATAGTACACAATTACACTTATATTTCTTTCAAAGTGCCTTTCTGTATACTTGCAAAACCAGTATTGTATTCTGTTGTGCAAGCTGATAAAAAAAATTCATACTGTGTTAAATAAATGTGATCATCAAATGTGACTTATAAAAGTTTTCAAGTCAGAGTTACTGAAATGAATTTTAAAAGTCTTAGGCATAGTTGACCCAAAACTGCCCCCCCCCACCCTAAAAAACCCATACAACCCTGTACATGAATATTTGCAGCACCTTTATCTCTATATCCAAAACTGGAATCAGCCTGAATGGCCTTTAACAGACAAAAGGTCAAACAAAATGAGACATGCGTGTTACAGAATACTGCTCAGCAATAAAAAGGAGCAAACGATTAGAACACGCAGTAACTTGGAGGACTCTTAAGGAAATATGCTGAGCAAAAAAGCCAGGCCCAGTAAGTTACATACCACATGAGTCCATTTACCTTGAGCATAGACTAGGGGCTGCCAAGGGTTGCGGGTTAGGGAGAAGTATATATAGGTAGAAAAGGGCACCAGGAGGGGTTCTTGTGGTTTTGTAACTGACATCTTGTTTATGGAGGGAGATACACAGATGTAAACAGTCAATAAAATCGTGTAGAACTTAATATACACATGCAAACATACATCTGAGTGCAGGTAAAATGGAAAATTCTTATAAGGCTTGTGGGTTTTATCAGTATCAATATCCTGGTTGTGAGATTATACTGTAGTTTTGCAAAATGTACCATTGGGGTAATCCTGGCAAAATAGAAAAGGGATCTCTTATTATTTTTTACAATCGCATATAAATCTACAATTATCTTAGTAATTATTTCAGTTAAAAACATAGGAATATTTAGTTTTAGAAGATATGTGAAGGTACTATGGGATCTTTTTTCTTTAATTTCTATAATATAACCTTATAATTATGTACTTTGATAGTAAGTGTTCCTACTATCCTAAGACCACCAAGGAATTAATTCTCTTTTCTACATTTTAATTGTGTTTCATAAGAATTACTTCAGATTTTTTATGATAGAAATTCCTAATGGTATTTGTTAGTGGTTTTTTTAAAAAATGCATTTTTCTTTACAAATTGCATTGTGGAGAGTGAGTACATGAGCCAGCAGCAGGAGATAAGGACGGGAACATAGCTAGTCTGTGGAGGCATCAGGGAAATGTGACCTGTCCTTCATAGCAACGAAGGGCCACTCAAGATAGTGTCTCAGAATGCTTGATTATGCTAGACCAGAGATACAGCTGTCTTTTTGGTTAATGGTCATTGCAAATGTGTCATAGTTATGACTGTGTTAACCACTGTTCTAATGAATGTAAGGCTGCTGGTTTTAGTGTTTTAAAAATAATATTTAAAAATTATAATTGCATGGCATTAAGTACCTTCATGTTATTGTGTAACCATTACTGCCATTCATCATCAGAACTCCTCATCTTAAAAACTGAAACTTCTCATACTGAACAATATTCCCCATTCCCTTATCCCTCACCCTCTGGCAACCACCATTGTACTTTCCATCTCCATGAATTTGACTATTGTAGGACTTCAGGTAAGTGGAATCATACAGTATTTGTCCTTTGATGACTGGGTTAGATCACTTAGCATAATATCCTCGAGATTCTTCCATGTTGTAGGTATGTGTCGGATTTTCCCTTCTTTTTAGGGCTGAATAACGTTCCCTTCTACATATGTACCACATTTTGTTTATCCACCCATCTGTTAATACACACAAGCTGCTTTCACCTTTTGGCTGTTGTGAATAATGGTACTAAGAATATTTGTATATAGATAGGTGATAGGTGTTGAAGTCACTGCTTCCAAGAGTTGCTGGATTATATGGTAATTCTGTTCTTAGTTATTTGAGGAATCACCACTCTATTTTCTACAGCAGCCGTACCATTTTATTGCAACCAACCATGTATAAGAGTTCTAATTTCTCTACATCCTTGTCAACACTGCTTTCCGGGGTTTTTTGCTAGTAGCCATCCTTATAGTTGGAAAGGAGTATCATTGTGGTCTTGCTTTGTATTTCCATAACGATTAGTGATGTTGACTACTGGTATATCTTTGGAGAAATGTCAGTTTAAGTCCTTTGGCAATCTTTAAAATAGGTGCTTTGGGTTTTTATTATTATTGAATTGTAGGAGTTCTTTATTATATATTTTGGATATCACCCTTATCAGATACAGGATTTACAAATGTTTTCTTTATAATTAGTTGCCTTTTTATTCTGTTGATTCTGTCCTTTGATGCACAGAAGCTTTTAATTTTGATGTAGTTCAAGCTTTAAGTTTTTAATTTTGATGAAGTGGTTTCTTTTGTAGCTTGTGCTTTTGGTATCATATTCAAGAACTCAGTGCCAAATCCAAAGCCATGAAGCTTTCCTCCTTGTTTTCTTCTAAGAGTTTTATATTTTTAGCTCTTGTATCTAGGCATCTAACAACAGAATGTTGGAACATATGAGGCAGAAACTGATAGAACTGTAGGGAGGAATATACATCCCCTGTTAAGATTGGAGATTTCAACACTTCTTTTTCAGAAATGGACAGATACAGTAGTAGGCAGAAAAACAATGAAGACTTGGTTGAACTCAACACCATCATCAGTCACTGGTGGATATATTGGACATCTGTGGACTATTTCATTAATAATAACAGAATACACATTCTTCTCAAGCTCACATTGAACATTCAGGATTGACCACATTCTGGACAATAAAACCTACCTCAACAAATTCAAAAGGAGAGAAATCCTATGATGTTTGTCTCAGACCACAATGGAAGTTAACTAGAAATCAAAAATAGACAGCTGGAAAATCCCCAAATACTTCGAGATTAAACACCACAGTGCTAAATAACACATAGGTCAAATAAATTTAAAAATATTTTGAGCAAAATGAAAATAGTTTATCAAAATTTGTGGGCTGTATCAAAAGTAATACTTAGAGCAAAATTTGTTAGTGTTGAATGCATACATTAGAAAAGTAGAAGGATCTAAAATCAATAGTCT